ACTCAACTCTTTTTATCTCTTTGTTACTATAAATATAACAGCACCAGTGTCGTGTGCAAAAAAACCCCTTACCTTTGCATTGTGACGTCATCCAGTGTATAAATACAGTCTTCTTTTCACTTTGATTTCATTCTGTTGTCAAAAAAATATTCAGACAGCAACACATAAGAAAAAATGGAAAAGAAACCAGAGAAAGAATTAGATCTTAGGAAAAGAAATGCCTTGTACTTACAGAGAATACAAAAAGCTAATCGACATCAACAAGTACAGGCTTTACGGAATATACCTGAAGAAGAAGAAGAACAATCAAGTTCATCATTACCACCGCCACCACCTCATAAACCTAAGACCATTTCTCAATATTATAAAGTGAGAATAGATGCAACCAGGTATTTCCCAAAATTTAAAGCACAAGAAAATAATTACAAAATCAATTTTGAGGAATTTCCAGAGGAGGAAAACCGAGGCTTTGTTAGGCAATTATTTAGAGACGTGAAAAACGGTGAAATATGAAATGCAGTGTAATCCTAACGATTACTTACGTTTGAACATACGTCACCCTTCTCTGGATTCTGACATTTCGTACGAGTTTACCCAATGTAAACATTTAAACCAGGACGCCATTTTAAACAAAATAGAAGCCGTCCAACAATCTAAAAAAGATTTTAAACTGGGTGACGGTGCCATGGAATTTAACATCTTTCATGTGAAATATCCAGAAAGAAGTGGTGGAAATAAAGCCAAACACCTGATGGTCAATAAGGAAAATATTCTTAAAGGGAAAAGATGCATCGTGCAGATCCACAATCCTAAGGATAACATGTGTTTAGCTAGAGCTATTGTCGTCACTCGGTTACACAGTCAAAAACCACAAACTTCAGATCCCGAATGGGAAAAACAATGGCTACGTATGCGTAAAGGTGACTATTTAGACCAGAAAAACCAAGCCCTAACTCTCATGGAACAAGCTGGCTGTGATATTCATCAGCCTTGTGGACCTGAAGAATGGGAGAAATTACAACAAGTGCTATATCCTCAATATCGACTGAAAATATTTCAGATCAAGTCTTCCTCCTCTAAACTCATTTTTGAGCCCATTTACAAAGGCTACGGAGACGGAACTTTTGTAAATTTTCTGTTAGAAGATCATCATTATCATGCCATTTTATCCATGGCAGCTTTGACGGGCACCCCATATTACTGTGATCATTGTGATGTGGGCTATAGTCTATTGAAAAGCATCGTACCAAGTGCCCTTTTCGATGTCATTTTTGTTCAGCGAACACCCCATGTCCTGATGACGGGCGCCAGATTACATGTTCTCATTGCCAAGGATTTTTTAAGAACAGAACTTGTTACGAAAATCATTTACGACCTTACAGTAAGAATACGACAACAACCATGTGCAATTTAATGGGACGATGCCAACAATGTGAGAAATGGCTGCCTAAAACTTTACTCGCTCATCACTTATGCGGAGGACAGAAACAATGTAAGATCTGTAAGAAAATCGTAGAAAATGATCATCAGTGCTACGTTCAACAGAAACCTCCCAAAAACAAAGGAAAAGAGGAATTACAGTTTTACATTTATTTCGATTTCGAATGTATGCAGGAAAAGGGTATACACTTCCCTAATTTATGTGTGGCACATCGGGTCTGTCAACATTGTGGGCACTTACCCATTGAGGATCCTTGTCCTCATTGTCAACACATGGGACCCCGTCAACACGTGTTTCAAGGATCAAATACTTTAAAAGACTTCATGGACTGGTTATTACAACCCACCAGCAAAGGAGATAGGAATGGTAGTTTATTACACGACCAGGCCATCATCATTGCTCACAATTTCAAAGGATATGACGGACAGTTCATTTTAAAGTACCTGGTGCATTCTGCCTGCATGAAACCCACCGTCATCCAGAACGGTAGTAAAATCTTATGCATGGAAATCTGTGGATTAAAATTCATCGATTCTTATAATTTTTTACCTTTTGCTCTGTCCAAAATGCCTTCCGCTTTCGGATTCACCGAACTGAAAAAAGGGTATTTCCCTCACTTTTTCAATACGGTACAGAACCAGAATTACGTGGGACCTTATCCGTCTCCAGATAAATACAATCCGGACGACATGACTATTAGCGGACGACAAGCTTTTTTTCAATGGTACGACCAACAAGGTGGAAAAGTGTTCGATTTCCAGAAGGAATTTTTAGAGTATTGTATTTCCGACGTCGATATTTCACGACGATGTTGTGCTCAGTTTAGATCCACCCTCAAGAGTTTGGTCAATGCAGATCTCTTTCAGGAATCCATCACTTTTGCCAGTGCAGCCAATTTAGCTTACCGTCGAGGATTCATGCCCGAAGATACCATTGCCATCATTCCTAACCTGGAATATCAACCTGCTCGTCAATATTCGGCCAAAGCCTGTCGATGGTTAACCTGGTTGAGTCAAAGAAGCGGATCTCGCATCCAACATGCTAGAAACGGAGGAGAACTCAAGATCGGATACTGTAGACGGATACCTGAAAGATACTCACACCGTCTATGAATTTTTTGGATGTTATTGGCACGGATGTCCCACCTGCTATCCCAAGCTACAGACCGAAACTCATCCTCACCGGACTCAATATACTATCAACAATTATATGAAGAAACTTTAAGAAGGAAATCAGACTTAGAGCAAATGGGGTACAATGTCACCTGTATCTGGGAGCACGAATTCGATCAACAAGTGCAAGGAGATAAAGTTTTACAGAATTATTTATCAGCCCTAAACATACCAGATCCTTTAAACCCCCGAGAGGCTTTTTAATTTACTTTAGGCCAACTGTAGAATAATATTTGTTTGCCCTCCCCCGACTCGGTCTGAAAATATATGGTCGGTAGGTAGCTGAAAAATTGTTTTTCTCAGAAGAAATTAATTTCGATAATATTTTTAAAAAATCTTTTTTTCCAGAGTACATAAAAAAAATTGCTTCCTGGAGGTTAAAAAAAGTTTTTAGTCGGGCCATTTTAGCCAGTCGGTCGGGAGAGGGCAACCAAACATTTTTTAAAACATGGACTAACTGTTGAATTTTAAAACCGAAGGATCAGGCTGACTTAATAATATCTAAGTATGATATGCTTACATAAAATATGAAGATTTTTACCATTATGAGGACCGTTTTCAGCAATTTACAATTTTTTCATTGTCTACTAAATTTGTTTTTTATGTGGTTTTGGAATTTTAATTTACAGTAAAATAACACCCAATTTCCTTAAATTTCAGTCTATTTAAAGCATTTATTTATTTTGTTTGACCTAAAATCTTTTTTCTATATTTGCTATTGATACTGTTAAAACAAATATCCAGATTCGGTTTGAAACCAAGTAAAAATCTCAAGTTATTTGATGGAAACTAATTGGTAGTACCTCTTGCCGTTGTTTATGATAGATGAAAAAATCAAATGGTAACATGGAGACAATATTTAAATAACAAATGTTTCAAAGCAGTTTGTATTAGAAAAATTTATGGGCTTCAACACTAGAATATTTTTATTTTACTAGATGTCCACAAAATGTTAGACCAGGCTTCTCATAAGAGCTGCAAACCTGTCATTTTTTTGCATTGAAAACACTTAATGGGATGGGTTATTTTTTCTACATTGAAAAATTATTTAAGTACTCGATATTATCCCAAGTATTGAAAAAGTTATGTATTTAAATAAAAAGACTATGTCATTTCGATATCTTGTCAAAATAAAAATTCTCAATAGGCCAAGGAATGGCATTTTAAGGTAGAGACGGATAGCAATCACGTGATAGATAGAATCCGCATATTAGCACGTGCTGTTTTTCCGGATTCCGCAACGCCGCCAAATAATAATTTTCATTTACACATTATTGTCTATGCTACAAGATGGCCGACGAAGCAGTTGAGAAAATTTCCTTGTTTGAAAGACAGAGTTTCCATACATATTTAATCTTGACGGTTCTCGAAATTGAAGCACCTTAATAAGAATCGAAATGAAAATGAGACTGAAACCGACCATGAACATAATTTTAGTGAAACTACTCCTTGTCCACTGCAGCACCACGCGGGTGCCGGCATCTGTGTCTGATGTGGTTTTGAATATAGACATTAACTGATTAAAGGCCATGACCCTGCAGATGTTAATTGGTATTATGGAAGAAGTAAAAAATTTGCAGAACAAATGTTTTGTTTGCAGTGTCCGTTTCAGATATATCAGGTGAATATTTACGACTATGGTGCATGTTTGTTTAACGTACAGGTCTGGTACAATCACTAGATTTAGATACGTAGCTTGAATTACCTACATAGGTTTGTTTACCTATCTAAAGTAGTTTTATTTAGCTACGAAGTCAAACTTATTTTATGACCAGATTCTTCTTGAATGAAATAACAAGGCCAGACACATTTCTGGTAAACTTGATAAAGGCTGGATTGGTAATTATTAAGCACAATGTGAAGTAATCATACTTTTCTTTGCCTAAACGCACACCAAATTGTGTATAGTTACTCAAACAATAGAAATACATATTTTGCTTAAAGCGTTCAAATGTAGAAAATGTAAACTTTCTCTGCTTTGGATCGCTTTTTAAATATTAATCCCTTGTATAAATATTTTTTTACATTAACTTCAAAATAGCCATTGGTTTGTATTTAAAGCTTAACTTGTTTCCTCTCTTAATTTTCCTTTCAATTTACACTTGCACATGTATCAGGGAAAATCCAGAAATTTTTACAATAAGGGGGGGGGGGGGGTAAAGAGGAGGTGTTTTATATTATTATAAATTTTTAAATTTCAAATATTTAGTCCTTATATTTTGAAGTTACACACCATAATGTACAAACTATTGTATACATGTAGAAGCATTTCTCAAGTCAATAATTTTTCAAAGTTCATATACATATTTCAGGAAAATTCAAGACAGATCTGCTACAGAAACTGTACATAAAGTAGCATACATGTGTGACAGGAGGAAAATGTAAGGCTGGACCGAAAATCTAACCTGGGACCCCTGCATCACTAGTCAGGTGCTCTATTGACTTAAATACATGTACCGGTAAATGTTTGTGTATAGACATACAAAAAAAAACATATTTGAATTACAAACTGAATACATGTAACCAAAAATTATAAAATGTAAAGATGTCTTCTAACTTGAATGAGATTGTTTCAACTAAAATACCAAAGAATTGGTATGATAATCTGAAGAAGTCAGTATTGTTTAAAACTTATAAGAGACATGTTTTTTTAACAATACATGTACATACTGACTTTTCTTCACATTATCATACCTAAATTTACAAAAAATTAAATTTACAAATTAAATCAGAATTGTTCATAAATTCTACAATATCTTTTAAATAGAACAAGCTATCTATTTCAATTTTTATTGTCTTTTCTTCATATTACAGATCTTATGGACATACATGATCCTTGGCTATATAATCAAGTGTCATATGCAGTGTTACAAAAGAATATTGGAATTATGTCAATAAGGTAATTAGGGACAAGACTGGATTAAAAACCAAGGAATAAGAATGATGTAAAAAAAAAATGTATTTTAATTCCACATATAATAGTTTCTGTACATGTACATAAATTGGCGTATTTAAAATTTAGCGCAATGACTGGGTGTGGAATTGTTGGCAAAATCATGAAGCTATACATGTCCCTGCTGTATATTGTATTTATAAATGATATCTTAGTGGTATTCTTGAATTAGCACATCGTTGTCTGCGCCAAAGCCGCTAAAATATGACGCCTGCTTTTTTAAGTACACATACAGCATGTTGCTAGTTGCTATATGTATTGTTTCACATTGAAGATGTGTCATTGACAGGTACATGTAGTGTTTTTTCCACGAAAACTTTATCCTTTGGCCTTAACTCTTGAACAATTATTGCTGTGTCTTTGTATTTCACATGTTTATTTCTTTTTTTAACCCCATGATCTTGGCCCTAGAGTGTGACCTACATTGAGAAACTAAAATATTTAATCTTTATCTATATATACCATTTATTTTTTTAATTTAAACACTTCATTAATCCAAACAATTTCCTTGGGAGCAAAAGTGTCCAGATTAATGAGGCTGACTATATATGCATTTGATTAAAAGATTCGTGACAATTTGATGAATACATATATAAAAAATGTATTGCTACAGTATAATATGACAGAAATGTATTATATTCATAATATAGACATAGTCATACCATGTTTGCAGTGTAAGAAAGAAGTAATACATGTATTTTAGTTCTTTAAATATTGAAATAATTTGTTCATTTCAGAAAAAGAACTACCAGAAGGATACAGTAAAGAGAAACAGACATATCCCACCCATTAGATATGTGCTTCAAAATCTGAATATACAGAATGAATTCCGCTCATTGCAGCTCCTGATGAAAAGAACACCTTTGTTGTATTGACACAGAATCAACAGAATTGTCCAGTTCCTTGAACATGACACAACTGGATGCATATGATGGCAATTCAAGATCATACATGTGTACATTGATCTTCGTCGGCCAATAAGCCAAAAAGCTACAGCTAGCAAAATAACAAGTTTATCTTACTTTTCCAAATGAATCTTAATGGTAATACATGTACATGTAGCATCAACATTCATCAAGCATTGTTATATTTCTTAGATTTTCTTAAATCAAACCATCCTTTTCTTGTTTTAGGTCATAATGTTGTATCAAATGACATTCCAATTTTCTTGAAATTACTTGAGGAGTTTGGACTTCAGAAAAACTTACATATTATTGAATGTATTCACTTTATTTTGTTGAACTACATCCTGAGTTTAAAAGTTGTACACCATCGTGTACAGTTTAGGGTGAGATTCCTCTAACTTTTATGAACCTGTGTGTGAAATCTATACTTTAAAGTTACAAATTATTACCTTTAATAGATTATATGTTCTTATGTAAATTATTACACTATTTTTGTATTTATGTAATGATAACCGAATCACTCTATTTCCCCGCACTTTTGATGCTTTTGTGATGCTTTAGTGTATTAATATCTGACAGACTACTGATGACCAGGCAGTCTTCATTAAACAGTGAAACACATAACTCATGCTTTTATTTGAATATCTTTAAAACAAGGATAACATACTGTAGATGGATTCTGTTTACAAAACTTCATAATCACTGGGTTTTCTTATACATGTTATACATGTATTTGGAATGAAAAAGGAATTGTTAAAGGAAAGTGAAATTAATACTAATGTTGTCAAAGGAAGATTAAAAGACCAGTTTATTTAGGCAAAGAATTGGTCAAAAGATATTGTCATCAATTGATAATTCATCCAAGAATCATATGTATAATAAATCTATCAAAGTCAATTTTAACGATATAAAGGGAAGTTCATCTCTTTTCGAATGTTAGTGCAAAAAGGTCAACCAGGACAAGATGTGTAGACCTAGGATGAACATGTATAAATATTTGCTTTTGTGATATAAAATGTACTTTAGAAGAATATTACAGAGAATTTACTCATTTTCTGTGAAATATTTTGATGAATTCTTTCATAATCTCTCTTAGTCACCATATTCTTCAAAAGTGCATCCTTTGTAAAGGAAGGGGGTAGGGTAGGGTGTAAGATAATAAACTTGCGCCAGGTTGAAATTAAACCCCATTATGTATTATGATTTTTTTTTTCTGAAATTTAAGATACTTATTGACTAACTATAAAATGCAATAAAAAAAGGAATTTGATGGGTAATTTTTTCACAGTGGATGCAGAAGTGTGAGTCTTTGAGCAATGAATAGACAATATTTAAAAGTAATTTGACCATGCATCTTGGTGAATGTAATTCTGTTTTTCGCTTACAATGCTTGATAATTTTAAGATTGATGTCAAATATTAATTCATATAGACAGATATTTAAATTCATACAAGACAAATGATAATTGATACATCAATAACAATTTTATAGCTCTTTTCATATCTTCTTCTTATGTTATTTTACCCTGTTTTTTCAGCTCTTCGGTGGGTGATGAAGGCTATATTAAAATTATCAAATTTCTCTTAAACTAGCCCGATGATCTACCTTCAATTTTTAATATGATTTAGAACAAAGACTCAACACAAACATACATAAAATTCAGAAAATTTCAATGGTTTGTTTTTTTGTTGACAACCTATCAATCTCTACCCTAAAAATAAAGTTTTAGTGTTTTCTAGGCCATAAAGATGTATGGTGGTTTTCATGATTACCAATGATAACAGCAACCATATTGATATGGATTTCATTGTCATACATCACAATACGTAATTTTCATACATAACGATAATTGCCAAGTATCATTGAAATCCAAGACCTGGCGTGCCACATATTCACATGCTTACAGAGAATGGCTATTAAATAATGCGATATTTATTATAAGGGGCTTATGGACTTCAAAATTCATGACACCTCTTCAGCAATCATTTTAATCGTTTGTGTAAATCTTTGAAGTGTGGGATCATTGAATATGGCTTGGGATTAATGACAGAGATATGGATGGGAACTTCACATGGACTCTTCCAGAAAGTCACGTGGTCTTCACGAATTGGCGATCGGGCGAACCCAATGGTGATATTTTTGAAAACTGAGTGGAATTACGGAAAGATGGTTGGAATGACTTGTATTGCTACCATTTTTTTTCCATTTGTTTGCGAAAAGGACAATTGACACATACAGATACAAAAATGTTTGAAAACTTTACTTCTCGATTGAAGTATTACTGAATTATAATTTCTTCTTTGTTATACATTTAAAATAATTCTGTTAGATTTATAATTTTTTTCTTTTCCTTAATTTTACATGCCCTTCAAGACCTCAACTTTAAAATAAAACATTGGTTTCCACGAAATGTCTGGGATTTATTTTTTTTTTTTTAATGTCTTTTCTTCGATTGTTTTGTTAGATCGTACTTTGATAATAGCTAAGCTTTGTCGAGCTGAAAAGTCTCGTGTACTTTTTTTATTCAATCAATCAATTTATTCTCTCAAAACCCTGTAAATGGTACATGAGGTACATAAACATATAAAAACAATATGCACATATAATGCAGTGGGTCAAGCAGAAGATAAGTTTCATTAAGCTAACTAAGGAGAACAGACCATACTTTTAATTTTAGTAATAAATGCAATATTTTTTTTTCAAAGAATCATCTTTTTGCCACACGACTGCACAAAACTTCATAGTGTTTGGGTAAGAACAAATTTGTTTAATGTGCAACATTATAAAATATAGCTATGTATTCATCTCCTATCTGATTACTATCGTATAAGCTACAAAATCTTTCTTTGAATACATTTCCATCTACCTGTTTAAATTGGAAGATGGTGGTATGTTTTTCTAAATTAAACAAAAGTGTTTTTTCTTCTAAATTTAATATTTTTCTAAATCAAAACTGTTTTAAAAATTTTATAATTTAAATTTTTCTAAGATTCCTGAACTCGATAAGACTACTTTACCAAACGGATTCAATTGACATTCGAAGATAAATTGCCTAATTTTACATGCATGTATCACACTATACATTGTCTTTTGTGTTTGTTCACATAGATGTTTTCTTGCTTTACTTAATGTGCATGTACGCGAAAATACTATCCCCAGATAATTAAAATACTTGACGACTTTTATGGCACTGCCATTATATATTTTTTGCCCGTCTACCTTTGAAAAGATAAGTATGGCTAAAGATACTTACTTAAGGTTTACGTATTTTTTCAACCAAAATGTCCATTGAGTGGTGACAAAATAAAAATAATTTGAGACTTCTTTCAAACAGAACATGTTGATACATTCACAATCAAGAATGTAAAGAAAGGGAAAAAAACACCAACAGTATTTCATACCTTAATAACTCCACTGTATACAAAGTACTGCAACATAAGAATTCTTTTAGCTCAAATTAAGCAGATAATCAATGACAGTTATTTTTTTGTTAGCTTTCAAAGCATTGCGGACTTTTGGTAGCTTTCCATAACTTGAGCAGTATTTGAAGATAGGACAAACAATACTTCAGCAACGAACATGAAAATGTAAGGTAGCTAAAAAGAGTTTATTTTGAAGAGGAACATTTGTGTATTAAGGGATGTGTTTGAGTCTAATGGGCTTCTATGTCATCCTTGTTATAATAAGAAATGGCACAAAACTCACGAGTGCTCCATACCCTCTATCAAAAAACGGCACAAAAATCACGAATGTTACATATCCTCTATGAAAATTGTTGCATATCCTCTATCAAAATATTGAAGGAAAACCTTAAATCTTCCGTACCCTAAGTCAATTGGTAAAGTTTGAGGCTGACTGGACTTAAGGGAAAGAAATTATGCACCGAAAAAAGATTTAAAACAGAGAGGCTATTTTCGACCTTGACCTAGAAACTTTGTTTAAGGTTACTGCACATCCATTGACCAGTGGCACTCTGTGAGTGAAGTATTAGCCACATTGGACCAAGGGGAAAGAAGATATTCTTCGGACAAGGATTTTTCATATAATTCTGCTCTGATCTTCAGCTTAGACCTAGAAACATGGTTCAAGGTCACTGCACATCTTTTACCCAAAACACTCGGTGGGTGAAGTATGAGCAAAATTGGACCAAGGAGAGAGAATATATGCTCTGGACAAGAGATCTCGGACGGACGGATCACTATACGGCGCCCACAGAGCGGGGCCCTAACAAACTGGTTGAAATTTTACTGTTAAATAAACTAAAAAATAAACATTTAGTTATTATCACTTGCAACTCAGAATAGTTTGTTTGTTGTTTAGCGTCCCTTTAGGGAATTTTTCATTCATGTGGAGACGCCACCACTTGCCAATGGAGGGTTGTAAATTTATACCTATACTCGGCACTTAGGGCCATTAAGCATTAAGGGATGTTTTTTGTGCCAGCACCTTCTGCGACACGGGACCTCGGTTAATATGGTCTCATCTGAAAGACCGGTCTCTACGTCCCGCAGTGAATTCGTACCCGCGACGTAAGGATCAAGTCCTTACTTTGCGACACTAAAGCAGACACTAGCCACTGCGCCATGCGAGTGACACTCAGAATGGTTATTTTAAGCAAAATATATTCCATGTGTACCAGTATGATATTCTTATTTATTTAAAAAAAAAGAGCACAATAATCAGTTTTTATCTGGAAATTTCTTCTTCCATTAAAGTTCATACCACCATCGGGCAAATCATTGATATAATTTTAATTTAAACTTTTTAAAAAAAGATTTAAAAAAAATTTATTACACCAACTTGTTGGAGTTCATCAAATTTCCTTTGCATGTTCATAAGGACATCAAACATTTCTTTTCTATACCCATGATTCGATGATGTA